TCGGCTCGGTTCTGTTCACCTGGAAGAGCGCTCCCGGCTCTGGGGTCCGGCTGGACGAGGGGAGCTGTTTGGTTTGCGGGATAAATCTCTCTCGCTCGCTCCGTCTCTGTGCCTGCGGTAACCAGGCGTGACGTCACAGAGGCACCTGCCGCTGGGAGGGGCGGCGGCAGCGCTCACCTGGCCGGGCACGCCCCCGCCCCGCCCCGCTGACGCGCCTCCACTGTGACGTCAGGCCACGCCCCCTGGCGGAGGAGGAGGAGGACCGAGGGAAAAAAAACAAACTTCTTCCTTGTTCGTCTTGTTTGAGTTGGATTATTTCCCCGTTGACCTGGTCGTAGAGGTCATAGAGTGCCTCGACCCCGCGCCCGCTCCTTGTCAGAGGGACTCCCAGAGTCCACCCTACAGCCAGCTCTGGACAGACACATGTCCAGCTCACAGGAAGAGAGCTCTGCAGGACTCGTGACACACCTGGACAGGCAGCTAGCGGTCAGCTGTGTCACTGAGGTCCTGCTGGGCTGGTCAGCTGTGTCACTGATGTACCGGTCAGCTGCGTCGCTGAGGTCCTGCTGGGCTGGTCAGCTGTGTCACTGATGTACCGGTCAGCTGTGTCACTGAGGTCCTGCTGGGCTGGTCAGCTGTGTCACTGAGGTTCAGCTGGGCTGGTCAGCTGTGTCACTGAGCTACTGGTCAGCTGTGTCGCTGAGGTCCTGCTGGGCTGGTCAGCTGTGTCACCAAGCTACTGGTCAGCTGTGTCACTGAGCTAGCGGTCAGCTGTGTCGCTGAGGTTCAGCTGTGTCACTGAGGTATCGGTCAGCTATCTCACTGAGCTACTGTGTCACTGAGCTACTGGTCAGCTGTGTCGCTGAGCTAGCGGTCAGCTGTGTCGCTGAGCTACTGGTCAGCTGTCACTGAGCTAGTGGTCAGCTGTGTCGCTGAGCTACTGGTCAGCTGTGTCGCTGAGGTCCAGCTGGGCCGGTCAGATGTGTCCCTGAGCTCCTGGTCAGCTGTGTCGCTGAGGTCCAGCTGGGCCGGTCAGTCCCCAGGCTGGACGAGGAGTGTCTCGCTCGGCAGGGACAGAGGCAGAGTCCACAAGGAGAGAGAAAGGCTCTTTATTCAGTAAAAACTCACAACAGACGACAACTCTACTGAGGGCTAATAAAACAGGCACCAGCTGGACTGGGGGGCTATTAAAACAGTCAACAGCTCACTGCAGGCTGCTTCTGACATCCAGGGCAGACAGACA